AGTCAACAACCGTCATAGCTATATTAACTTGAAATTTTGTGTCAAGATAGTTTTGACGCATGCTGATTATCCTAGAAGTTTCCAGCTCATTTGGATGTATATGATTTGTGAGATATCTTATTTGTATCATTTTTTTCACTGAAGTCGAGATAACTTCTGATCTCTACAATCAACTTTCTGTTGGTAAATTCCACTGTATGCTGCATGTTTGTTCTGCTTGAAGAAACTTTGAAATATTTATTATCTTCCGAGATCAAAAAATGATGCTATATAGTAAAAAGACACATGTTAAATAAAATATATTTTTCGCAAAAACGATAAATCAAAAAACTAAACTCCAATATATCAGGTTTGGGCTGAAGAGTTTCGCTACAATACTGTATATTGCACCAATTTTCTTGATGTATCTACGAAAACTATGACAGGCTGAAGATCGAGTGTTCATCGACTGTAGAATTAGAAAAAATAGACTGTAATTTGAAAAGACTCAAATTGATAAGAAAATATTACATAAACAACAACCACAAGCAACAAATAATAACTGTCTACAATTATTATCGAGAAAACAATCTTTTTCGTGTTGTCTTATTACGAACAGGAATCCAACGTATTAGCCGAACGTTTAAAAATTTTTCAAAAAATTATTGGTGATGGTGTGACTCCTAGTGAGAAAATATTCGAATGAGAGCATCAAATTAACAATCAAAAAATGAAATAAATATCACTTATGGGCTCTTTTTACTTTTTTTGTCTTGGGAAATAATTTTGTCTTTGTTTTTAAGTAAATTGTACAGACATTACGAGCCTTGATCGACATTTTTGTTCTAGGATAACATTTTTGTGTAACTCCTCCCCTGAATTCCTCTGAAAAAGGAGGAACAAGGAATAAAAGATTGTACAGAGAGATTATGCAGGAAATCTGAAAATTTTATTACATTTGAATGAAGGAGTTACACTTTAGACCCAAGATCTGCGCTGATAAGCTCTTTTTAGATCACATTAGAACAAGTGGTGCAGATTAAATAACACTCAGTATTTTGTTCATCAAGTTTTTTCTTTCGTTCCCAAGGATCAATCTTTTGTTGCGAAAGATGGATTCTGAAATTCTCTACAAAAAAACATGTTGAGGGTTTTGCCACAAAATGCAAGAGTAGAGCGTTATACGAATAATAGTGAGAAAATCTAAAATGGGCAAACTGTAATGCACTTTTTAGAGTATTCAAATTTTCTTAGCAGATGTTAAGATATACAAAGCAAACGTTGTAGCAAAACGCTCAGTATATTTTTTGTAGAGAATTTCAAGGTGTATCTTTTGCAAAAAGATTGACTCTTGGCATTACAAAGTTTTTTGTTTTTTAAAAAGAATCAGTCCGGAAACTTACTGAACTTCCTACGTATATGTTCTTATTTTAAAGGACATGACATGTTTTCTAAGTTCGAAATTGCTTTACTACGAACCATTAATAAAAACAACAGATCACGTAACCTGTCATTTTGCGAAAGTGTATGTCCAGCAACTGTCCTTAAATGGGAACATTCCCAAGTGATTCACCCCGATTCAACTAATATTTTGCTAATCGTCAGGGCTCTAAATGAGAAAACATCGAACCGTCTAATTAAACACTACTAACCTTTAAAAATTTTCTAGTATAGAACACAACAATAACAAACGATTTTACAAACTTTTGAATGCTGAAACAGGCTTGATAGTGAAAAAAATATACTCTCGTTTGATTTACAATTGATGATTTATTTGTGGTAGGATATGGTATTGATTGTTGTAAAAAATATCGACAATTACCCTATATTGCTTATGTAGAAACAATAGCGGAAGATAGTTAAAGAAGTAATAATAATGGAATTTAACGGAAAAAAAAAATACGCTTTTTGTCTCACGCTGGTTATTTTTCAGTTGACAGCCACTATCATAAATACAATGTATATTATTTTTCCCATTTGTAGATAGAAAGAGAGTAGCAAAATCCCGTGGAAAAATGAATATTTGATTTCTCATAAAGAACATAAGACCAAAGTCTGAAATTTTTACTGCATAGGAGACCTCTAACTAGAAGTGTCATTGCTACGAGTTTCAACTCTTCATCATGTTTGAATAGTTAGTTAAAGTGAAAATACTCTTCTTAGGATTTCCTCTTAGGATTTTTGTTAGATCGATGAGTCCTAGCAATCAGCAAAATATCAGTTGAATAGCAGTGAATCACTTGAGAATACCCCCTCGTCAGCAAAACTGTCGAATGTACAGGCACTCAATTCATTTTCTGAATATTTTTGCTCCTGTATCTCGAACACGCAGCATGTAGACTGGTGAAAAAAGTCAGTTATTTCGTATACTTTTGTTGCGTTAGAAAAATTCAGTTGAGTGGATGCCAAACCTGCGGAAGTTCAAAACACAAATTAAGATTTTTAAAACTATTTTCTGTTTTCGATTCTCGTTACTAATAACAAGTTAAGATAAATAACATTTTATCAGATTTTGTTGTTGCTGTCTCTATTGTGTCTAAAGGAACTACCTCGGCCCAAGTCGAGAATCTCGCAAGAAGTTGTGCGGGGGTACCGTTACGGACTCCTATGGAGCTTCAATGTTGGACTCCTATGGAGCTTCAATGTTGGACTCCTATGGAGCTTCAATGTTGGACTCCTATGGAGCTTCAATGTTGGACTCCTATGGAGCTTCAATGTTAGACTCCCATAGCAGTCCCGTGAGACTTTTATTCCTTTTTAGCTGAACACTAATGTACTTTATTCTGAAACATTTTTGAGTGAAATGTTCGATTCTTGGCAGTAGCTTCACCTTTTTTCTTTTCTTCTACTTTCAGGTTAGAGTTTTCCACAATTTTCATACGGCTAATTAAGTGTCAGTTGTCATTAATCCTAATTAGTCGAAGCTAAAGAAACTAATTAGTCGTTAATAACTCATTAGTACTTCTTAGTTATCAATGAATATATGAGAAAAACTTCGATATTTTTTCAAAAACTATGTGGATATTATATACTTCTGTCGCTGGCAAAACAAAAGGGGTTCATCGGGAGTCCCACGGGGCTTTTCACTTTCTTGGGAGTTCCGTGGAACTTGACATAATTGTCTCAAGTTCCTAAAAAAGATATAACTTCTGTCTAAAAACAGGGATTCCATGGGACTTTTATGGAAGTCCCAGCGGACTTCGTATTTTTCCGAGTCTGTCGACTAGGAGAAGCTTCTCTTACTTTTTATTATTGCGCTTATTAGTGGCGACGCATCAGTAGAAGAACATGAGGATCTCGAACCATTTAGAAAAACTAGACACGATCAACGCATAGTGCCACTAAATGCTGATGGAAGTTGATAGTGACAAATGTAACCGCGTTTCGTCCGAGTCTTCTCCCACTTTCTTATACTCAGCAGTTATGAAGTTAAAAGTAGAATGTCCCATTACTTGAGTTAGCAAAACGATATTACCCGGACTCTATAACCACATAATATTAAATGAATATTGTACAGTCATCAAAATACTGTGCAGGACAGAAAATGGCTGAGACCATTAATTCATAGAACCGTTCGAGATGCCACGGAGAAACTAAATCAGCATCTGAGCATAACTTGCGTTACCTCTGTGATGAAATATGGTGCACTGGGATTTTCGGGATTTCGCATTCATAATCATGATCTACCAGATCTATAAAATGTTGTAAGATATCCCCCTCTTCCAGTCTTCGCCACAACTCTTCGTCAATAGTCAACTCATAGACGTAGACATTGAAAGCGTATAAGCTTCATTCTATGAAAATGTTAGCTAACAAAGTGCGTAAGCGTAAAACAAAATGACGCATGGTTAACTTGTTCATGGACAGTTTCGAAATCACGGATTAATAATTCAATTCAAAATATATGGTTATACCCAAATCTTTACTCATGATCATAAATTATGTTTTGAAGAAAAAAATAAAAAAATACTTAAAACAAAAAAAGTCTGATGCAAGCTATAGCCATTATCAACCTCGTAACGATAACGGCATTGTATCAGTCAGAAATGTCGTATGTGTTTTTTCATCTAAACAATTAGCAACAATTGTGTAATTTTCAATCCAAGTTATTTCAATAACTGTGTTTTCTTCTGAAATATTTGCAGCTAATAATCGCAAACTATATGATGTCTTCAAATAGAAAACGAAATGAGTGCGATAGTATTTTTAATTCAATAATTGCTAATTATATTATAAAGTAATGAAAATAAGATTGTTTCTAGATCACTTCGATGTATTCATTTTACGCAAATGGATAATTCTGATTTAGATTTAACAGCGTTTATATGAAGCTGAGATTCCATACTGCTAAATTACGATGAGAATCCTATCAACAACAAAACTTATTCTACTAGTTCGAGAAATTTAATAAATATATCCTCAGTTATTTTTAAGTCTGTTTTTATTTATGTTTACAGTTTTCTTCTTTTGATTGATTATATATTTTTTGCAGCACAAAACAAAAGAGAGAGAAAGAAGAAAAAATGGAAATAAATTAACCTAAATATATAAAACAAACAGTAATCAAAAAAACAACAAACACACACACACATGCTGTATCAGGATAAATAAAAACCAAGAGCATAATGTCAAAATAAAAGCACGTTTCTTCCAGTGTTTTGCATTAACATCATAAAAAACAAAAACCTGTTATACTTATAAACACTTCTACAATCTAATACTTATTTATTTAAAAAAATGTCAGAGCATCAGTCATTACTCTAAACAGGTTTATTTAGATCATAGAAAAAAAATCTATACAGAGTAAGAAAAAGAGAATTTTAATGTGACTCTTCAATCAATTAAATAATACAGAATCACCATATCAGAGAGCAGTTTTAAATGCTCTCTGTACGCCCCTAAGCTTATCTTCTTATTTTCGTTCATTGTCAGTTACGACAACGTTCTCTTTCAACTGTTCGTAAAGTAACAGATAAAATACATAGAATAAAAGTACAGAGAAAAAATTACGTTTATTTTTGTCACATGTTTGCCGGAAATGACCGTCGTACAGCTGTTTTCATTGTTTGCATTTGCTGCTGTTGTTGTTGTTGCTGCTGTCGCTGAAGTAGAGAAGGTATTTGTGGATGAGGAATATTTTGACGATTAGCTGATTGGGGTAACTGTCGTTGATTATTTTCCATTGATTGAACGGGTCTTGCAGAATGAGAATGTCTCTGCTGCTGTGGTGCTGATTGTAGCATTTGTGGTTGTCGTGCATGTTGTAACGAAGTATGATTAATTGGCTGTTTGGGCAAAGATAATGATTTTCGATTAATTTGCTGTTGTTGAGATAATTTGGTAGCAAACTGCGATGGTGCTACGGATGATTGCGTAATTTTAGCTCGTTGATTAGTGTTATTAACTAATGGTGATTGACTTCGAGAAGGAAGACGATGATTCGAAGAAGGAGGGGTCGGAATATGATTTCTTGTTGCTATATTATTAGTATTTCTTACTGTTTTCTGTTGCTGTTGCTGTCGAATCAACGTATTAAAGTTTTTTTCAATATCTCGTTCTTGTTCCATAGCGCTCACAAATACATTTTTTAATAATGCCGAATGTTCAGTTTTTGATGACCGACGAATAACTTGTTTTGTACAACGATCACATAGTATATCTAAATAAAAAATATCTCTATTCAGATTAATTCGCAAGTAGTAACCAGCACATGTTCTCCTAACAGATTCTGATCCATATATGCTGATCTATACGTCAATATTAAACTCTACATTTGTAATTACACTTACTTGTAACATCGTCTTTGTCTTCGTCGCTCTTGTCTTCTCGATCATTTTTCCA